CACCATCATCATCACCATCATCACAATCATCATACTTACCACCACCATCATCATCACCATAACCGTCAGCATCATAATCACCACCCTCATCATCATCATCAGCATCATCATCAGTATCATCACCACTGTCATCACTATCATCACCATCCTCCCCATCATCATCCTCACCACCACAATCATCATCAGCATCATCACCATCGACATTATCATCATGAGCACTATTATCATCTCGATCATCATCATCATCATCATCATCATCATCACCATCATCATCAGTATCACCACCATCACCAACATACTCAGTATCGTCATCGTCATCGTCATCATCGCCATCGTCATCTTCACCACCATCATGATCATCATCACGATCACCATCATGATCATCCTTCTGGTCGGGGAAAACAATCCCCATTTCCACCGCAGAAACCTTGCCCCCCCCTCCCTTGAGATGGGGATGGGTACCATCTCCTTCGGGTTTTGGAGAACCCATCCCAATCTAAATGGGGTACGCTGGAAGAGCCAACTTACCCTGCCCCAGTGGGGATGGGAACGGTTCCGACGATAGGTCGACGACATATATATATATATATATATATATATATATATAGATATATATACATACAAGACTGCAGTGGCGCTTCGCGCCATGCACCTTGGTCCCTTGAAGTTTGGTGCAGGCGGATTAGCAGGAAGGTCAAGCCGACAATTTAGCCATAACTCCTTGTTGCCTTTTCTGGCATCGCAGCTATAATAATGTTATTCGTTATCCTTCCTCCATGCTTCTTTTTCCTCATTTTCGCCATGCCCTGCGCATTCTCCCCATCCTCCTCAGCTCTTTTTGCGGAGGCTCCTCCTTGGAGAGCCTCTGGGGGCCTCACAAAGGTTGTTTCAGGCTTTCGTGGGGCCTTCTGGAGGCCTCCTGGGCGTGTTCTGGGGGCCTCTGGGGGCTTCCTCGGGCCACCCTGCCGCGGTCTCCCTGAACGACCGGGTCACAATTTGGAATGCTTCGGAGGGTGTCTTGGGGCCATCTTGGGCCGCCATGGGGCTCTCTGAGGGCCATCTTGGGCCCCTGTTGTGCCGTTTTGGGGCTCTCTTGGACTGCCTGGAAGCCCTTTCGGATGGTTGTGGGGCGATTTTGGAGCCTCCCAGGCGGCTTCGGACGCCCAGAAGACGGCCGTCTTGGAGCGTCGGGAAGCCGAAAAGAGGAGAACCCCAAAATAAACCAAAAACCAACAGAAAATCAATGATTTTTGCCTCTTGGGGCCTTCTTGGGAGTGCTCTTGGAGGCCTCTTGGAAAGTTTCGGGACAATCTTTGGGGGTATGACGGCTTCTGCGGGGTCGTCGTGGACCGTATTGGGGCTCTCTGGGGTCGTTTCGAAGGCGCGCCACGCCCTGCGAGGCCCCCGGGGCCGCTTCGAGGTCCGTCCGGAAGGTCCCAGTCCAGTTTTTTTTGGGGGGGGACGGGTTTTCCCCCCGCCCGGGCTTGAAAAAATATAGGAAGTCGAATATACACAGATCCTCTGCCCCAAGCCTGGCCCATACTGCGACGTAGACTTGGTTCGCCCGAGTCTCGATTCGGCCGGCTCGATTCGCCCAGATCGATTTTCCCGGCTCGATTCGCCAGGCTCGATTCGCCCGACTCTCGATTCGCTTGGCTCGAGTCGCCCTGATCGACTCGCCCAGCTCGACTCGCCCAAGTCTCATTCATTCGACACAGTCTTGACTCGCCAGGCTTAATTCGGCCGGCTCGATTCGCCCGAGTCTCGCTTCGCCCGGTTTGATTCGGCTGGCTCGATTCGATCCATATGGTGCAGCTCGAATCGCCCAGCCCGATTCGCCCGGGCGCGATTCGCCTGGCTTCGCCTGGGGCTCGATTCGCCCGAATCTCGATTCGCCCGGGGCTCGCTTCGCCCGGGGCTCGATCGCCCGGGGCTCGCTTCGCCCGGCTCGGTTCGCCCAGGCTCCGAACCGAACCCCATAGACCCGATGTCATGATTTTTTCAATACGGGGTCCCCGGCAGTCTCGACCCTTTCCCCGGGACGGGTTTTTCGTCCCTCGAGTCGTTTTTTTACGGTCCCGGGGCCCGGCGAGGGCCCCTATAGAGGCCCAAAACTGTGGAAAACCTCCGTCTTGATTTTCTCAATGCGTTGGATCTCTGGGACCCGGGCTCGATTTTCGGCGAGGCTTGCTTCGCCTGGCCCGAGTCGCCGGGGGCTTCGGCTCGCCGAGGCGCGCGCCTTCGCCCCGGCGAACCGCGTCCGGGGCCCATCATGCGCCCGGGACCAGCGTATATATGACTCCACGAGGACCGCCGCGAGGAGGGGGGGGAGGGGGAGGAGGAGGAGGAGGAGGAGGAGGAGGAGGAGGAGGAGGAGGAGGAGGAGGGGGAGGAGGAGGAGGGGGAGGAGGAGGAGGGGGAGGAGGAGGAGGACGAGGAGGAGGAGGAGGAGGAGGGGGAGGAGGAGGAGGAAGAAAGGAGGAGGAGGAGGAGGGGGAGG